TCTCTCTCTCTCTCTCTCTCTCTCTCTCTCTCTCTCTCTCTCTCTCTCTCTCTTTCACACACACACACACACACGCGCGCACACACGCACGATGTTGATGAGTAAGAGCGCATTTTTACGCCCGGTCGCAATTTCGCAACCTAATAAGTTGTCTTGTGATCATGAAAAATCCAAGTCTAATCAATTCTTAGTTACTAACGAAAACAGAAAAACCCTAACTAGGTTCGGCAAAAATCATAATAAGACAACAAGGGCAGATGCTCTTAACAATATTTACAATGCAGCCATCAAAACCAAAGATTTGGAAGTAGTGCCACTCGTAAGAGAGATGGCCAACGACAAAAAAGGTGTCGGAATCGTTAAGTTTTTCCGAGGGAAGAACATTTTTATTACAGGTGGAACTGGCCTTCTTGGCAAAGGTACATATTATATTTATTACATGCATGCATGAAAATTATTACGTTTATATTTTACGACATGTTTTTCATGTGGAAATTATGTATATCTATATGCACGATGTTCTAATTAGCAATAGTACAAAAAATAATGTAGCTCTCGTGGAGAAGATATTGAGGTCGACACCGGTGGGTAAAATCTACGTACTAGTAAAAGCCGACGATCAAGAAACGGCCCTTGATAGAATCACAAGAGAAGTATGTTAATTATATTTTGTTACATCATATCATTTTATATTAGGTTAAGTAAGGCCTTGATTTAATGTTTGTGTTTTTATTTTTTGGTCTTGTTAGCTTATCAACTCGGAGTTATTCAAATGCCTTGAAGAAAAACATGGAAAATATTACCGGGATTTTACGAAGAAGAATTTGATCCCGGTTGTCGGTATATTTGTGAGCCGAATCTCGGAATGGACGCTGATTCTGCGCATGCAATTATGAAAGATATATGTAAACGTCATTATTGAATCTGCAGCCAATACAAACATGAATGAAAGGCTAGTGTTCTCTATTTTCACTACTAAATTCTGATTATTAATATATATATACATATATTTAATTTACATTATATATATATATATATATATATATATATATATATATATATATATATATATATATATATATATATATATATATATATATATATATATATATATATATATATATATATATATATATATATATATATATATATATATATATATATATATATATATATATATATATATATATATATATATATATATATATATATATATATATATATATATATATATATATATATATATATATATATATATATATATATATATATATATATATATATATATATATATATATATATATATATATATATATATAAATATATATATATATA